GGGGGGGGGGGGGGGGGGGGGGGGCATTAAAGGGCAGACGTGTAGGTATTCGAGGCAGACGATGATGCATAGGAAGACGAGCGCATTTCGGTAGGACGGCAGGCATTGGTATCGGTGGAGCTTTGCAAAGGGAGACTGCGCGCTGTCATGATGCGGGGGCGTGTTATGGGGGCGTCTTGCTTCAGAAGTGAATGAGACCTTTTTGTGTGGTTCAAGCTGTTTCAGTGACCGTTGTCGTGTTGTGCGGCGACTTGTGGCTCGAGAAACTCGTGGATATATGCTCAGTCTCCCGTCAAAATACACCGGAAGATGTCCAGAGAGTACCTCAGTTTCTCACTGATTTCGCATCGTCAACGCACGTTCGACTTGCGCCTGCATCTGCGTAGGCACAGACGGATAGAGCAATTACGTACGGTCATCTTTGCACTGATTGATTTATCGTATTGCGTTCGCAGGATATCGATCAGATAGATTATCGGCATTCGTTGCCATTCATAAGGTGAACATGAAGCCTACACAACCACACAACCGTGGGCTGCAGACCTGGATGCGTGTGTGTGTGTGTGGTGTCTTTCAGCGTTATGGAGGATGATCAGCTGTCACTGTCTAGTGGCGATTTCGTTGACGGATCGTTGGACTCGGATGATGATTTGTCGGCTGGTAACCGTCACGAGTCAGATGATGATTTTGTGCCGGAGACGTCGAACGAACCTCAGGAGCTTCAGACTGATGCCGCAGACCAAGATCCTGAGGAAGAGGAGGGGCCTCGAGTGCCAGCGACAGCGGCCGACACCGGCAGATCACAGCGATGTTGCCTGAATTGTAGGCGTCCTGGCCATGATTGTCGGACTTGTCCACTGGTGTGTCAATTGTGCGAGGACCCCGAATGCCCGAGGGGCCGCCGTTGTTCTCAGTTCAATGAATATCGGGCTTATCGAAGTCCTGCAGTGCAACGACAACGGCGTTCAGCAACCACCACTCGGTTCGTTCTCGACGACGGAGCAGCCAAGCATGCGTTTGCAAGCGGCTGCTGTCACAATTGCGGTCGGGTGCCCATTCAAGGCCACCACATTACGATGGTGCTATTGTCGGTGCCTTCGAGTGCTCTTCGGCATCGAATGTGGCACCAATCGCGGTGTGGTTTCCTTGGTACATGCTGGTTGGCAACAGAGACACGATAAGCTTTCGAAAGCATCCATCCATCCGTGTGAGTCAATACGTAACACGCAATACGACACAGTGAAAATCAGGGGGGGGGGGG